TTCAGCAGAGCTTTCTCCACAAATGGCAAGCCAGAGCTGGTTTGTCCTGGGCTGGTCCCTGGGTGCAGGCACTGATTTATTAGAGGTGCGGGTGAAGTGAAAGGTCTGAAGCACTGGCTTGGAGAGGGTGTCCTCTGGCTGTGTGTACAAAGCAGTGCATGGTTTTGAACTGGTTTATTTGGATATTTGTTAGTGGTTCCTCATCTTGTTCCTTTTCTGTTTGTAGAGGTTTATGTCTTTAATGGGGGGGGGGGAATCCCTTTTTTGACTGGTAGTTTTCTTTTAAGGAAATGAATTTTATGCAATAGCATGGGTGATCTGTCCTCTATACTGTTCCCCATCCTGTACAAAGCAGTGCATGGTTTTGAACTGGTTTATTTGGATATTTGTTAGTGGTTCCTCATCTTGTTCCTTTTCTGTTTGTAGAGGTTTATGTCTTTAATGGGGGGGGGGGAATCCCTTTTTTGACTGGTAGTTTTCTTTTAAGGAAATGAATTTTATGCAATAGCATGGGTGATCTGTCCTCTATACTGTTCCCCATCCTCCCACGGTAACTTTTGAACCAGTTTCGTGAAAACATGGTCTCTCTCCACTGCCGCAGTCGCCCGTTGGTGCTGTTATCGGACACCAGAGAGTCTCTAGCGGGTGGGGAGAGGGACGTGAACGCTGCATCCGCAGGTGTTAGACCCCAGGCAGGGACGCTTGCAGGACAGAGCCGCGTAGGAGCCACCTCGGGCTGGGCAACACCTTGTTGCAAAGGGCTAAAACTCACAGCCTCTTTCCTGGAGACGGTGCGTGTCCCCCTGAGGGGCCACCGCTCTCCAGACAGGAGCTGCAGGCTTGTCCAAGCCCTGGTAGTTGCTCTGGCCCTTCCTGTGGCAATGGTAGGAGCTGTTAAATAGCTGCCCTGGTTCACCTTGGAGGAGCCTGAATTTCAGTGATGACCTGTCGATCAGGAGCATGTAATCCCAGCGCACCAGAGCTGACAAGTTTGCATTGAAAGTTGGTCTAGACACAAGATTGAGCTGTTTAGGAGAGAGGCTTAGTAGACAGCAAGGTCTTATTTCAACCTAGAATTTAAAACTAAACCAAAAGAAGCAAGCATGCTGTTTATTTATTTATTTTATTGTTTTGCTAACAACCTTTTAATCATAACAACAGCATCCTGTTCCCCCCCACGGGTAGTCCGGCAGCTGCCAGCTACTTGTCAGCTGGCGAGATCAGGGCCGCAAGAAGGTGAATTTGGCCGAGGGTTGGGGTTTTGTTTTGTGCTTGTTGCAGGACTGGGTCTCCTGCACAGACCTAATAAATCACGTTTGCCGCATCAGCAGCAGCCGCCGCCAGCGTCGGTCTGAGCAGCTTTCTTTGCAAGCCGACAAGTGGATAATCCAGATGACCGCAGTCTCTGCTATCTGCGAGCAAGTTCAGGAAGCTTCAGAAGGAGCCCAGGAAGATGCCGCTGCGGTAGGCGGCCGCGGCGCCGGCGGGGACCTTGCTGGAAGGAGTCGCGAGGGGCAAACCCAGAAGCCGCGGCAGCTTGCGACTGCTCGTGTCTCTGGCTGGAGATCTCCCTGCCAGCTCCTGTTTCGTCTGCGTTGTCCCCGCTGAACAGGTTGGTGCATGGGGAAGTGGGCTGTTTCTGCTTGTTGAAAGCCCCGATAATACCTAGACTGTAATTGCAATTTGGATGCTCCCTGGTTTAAAAAAAGGTGTGCGTTGGGGGGGAAGCAACCAGGGATTTTAACAAATGCTTTTAGAGGCTCTTTGCACATGATGGTTTGCAGAAAGGAGCAAGGTCTCTTAAGTCACCCAGCGCAAGCGTGTGTGCGCGTGCGGAGGGGACAGAGGAGCTTTAGAGGGGGAAATCTCTTCTCCGGTGGGGGAGACAAAAGCGACGGGGTCCTTAGGTCTGCGCGTCCTGCAGAGCAACTTTCTGCCAGCCTCGGGCTTGCCAGGAGACT